GCCACTCATTAGAAAGGATTCCCCTCCCCTCCCCATCCCCCACCCTTTAAACATGTGTTGTCAGCGAGATCTTCTCTGGATGCTGTTTCCCTGCCAGATCTGTGTGTGTGATAAAAAGAGACACTTGGAGTCTGAGTGCTCAGAGCATTGGGAATGGAAGAGAGGTTAGTAGATTCATAGATTCTAGGACTGGAAGGGACCTCGAGAGGTCATCGAGTCCAGTCCCCTGCCCTCATGGCAGGACCAAATACTGTCTAGACCATCCCTGATAGACATTTATCTAACCTAGTCTTAAATATCTCCAGAGATGGAGATTCCACAACCTCCCTAGGCAGTTTATTCCAGTGTTTAACCACCCTGACAGTTAGGAACTTTTTCCTAATGTCCAACCTAAACCTCCCTTGCTGCAATTTAAGCCCATTGCTTCTTGTTCTATCCTTAGAGGCTAAGGTGAACAAGTTTTCTCCCTCCTCCTTATGACACACTTTTAGATACCTGAAAACTGCTATCACGTCCCCTCTCAGTCTTCTCTTTTCCAAACTAAACAAACCCAATTCTTTCAGCCTTCCTTCATAGGTCATGTTCTCAAGACCTTTAATCATTCTTGTTGCTCTTCTCTGGACCCTCTCCAATTTCTCCACATCTTTCTTGAAATGCGGTGCCCAGAACTGGACACAATACTCCAGTTGAGGCCTAACCAGCGCAGAGTAGAGTGGAAGAATGACTTCTCGTGTCTTGCTCACAACACACCTGTTAATACATCCCAGAATCATGTTTGCTTTTTTTGCAACAGCATTACACTGTTGACTCATATTTAGCTTGTGGTCCACTATAACCCCTAGATCCCTTTCTGCCGTACTCCTTCCTAGACAGTCTCTTCCCATTCTGTATGTGTGAAACTGATTGTTCCTTCCTAAGTGGAGCACTTTGCATTTGTCTTTGTTAAACTTCATCCTGTTTACCTCAGACCATTTCTCCAGTTTGTCCAGATCATTTTGAATTATGACCCTGTCCTCCAAAGCAGTTGCAATCCCTCCCAGTTTGGTATCATCCGCAAACTTAATAAGCGTACTTTCTATGCCAATATCTAAGTCGTTAATGAAGATATTGAACAGAGCCGGTCCCAAAACAGACCCCTGCGGAACCCCACTTGTTATGCCTTTCCATTAGGATTGGGAACCATTAATAACAACTCTCTGAGTACGGTTATCCAGCCAGTTATGCACCCACCTTATAGTAGCCCCATCTAAATTGTATTTGCCTAGTTTATCGATAAGAATATCATGCGAGACCATATCAAATGCCTTACTAAAGTCTAGGTATACCACATCCACAGCTTCTCCCTTATCCACAAGGCTAGGTTATCCTATCAAAGAAAGCTATCAGATTGATTTGACACAATTTGTTCTTTACAAATCCATGCTGGCTATTCCCAATCACCTTACCACCTTCCAAGTGTTTGCAGATGATTTCCTTAATTACTTGCTCCATTATCTTCCCTGGCACAGAAGTTAAACTAACTGGTCTGTAGTTTCCTGGGTTGTTTTTATTTCCCTTTTTATAGATGGGCACTCTATTTGCTCTTTTCCAGTCTTCTGGAATCTCTCCCGTCTCCCATGATTTTCCAAAGATAATAGCTAGAGGCTCAGATACCTCCTCTATTAGCTCCTTGAGTATTCTAGGATGCATTTCATCAGGCCCTGGTGACTTGCAGGCATCTAACTTTTCTAAGTGATTTTTAACTTGTTCTTTTTTTATTTTATCTGCTAAACCTACCCCCTTCCCATTAGCATTCACTATGTTAGGCATTCCTTCAGACTTCTCGGTGAAGACCGAAACAAAGAAGTCATTAAGCATCTCTGCCATTTCCAAGTTTCCTGTTACTGTTTCTCCCTCTTCACTGAGCAATGGGCCTACCCTGTCTTTGGTCTTCCTCTTGCTTCTAATGTATTGATAAAAAGTCTTCTTGTTTCCCTTTATTCCCGTAGCTAATTTGAGCTCATTTTGCGCCTTTGATTTTCTAATCTTGCCTCTGCATTCCTGTGTTGTTTGCCTATATTCATCCTTTGTAATCTGTCCTAGTTTCCATTTTTTATATGACTCCTTTTTATTTTTTAGATCATGCAAGATCTCGTGGTTAAGCCAAGGTGGTCTTTTGCCACATTTTCTATCTTTCCTAACCAGCGGAATAGCTTGCTTTTGGGCCCTTAATAGTGTCCCTTTGAAAAACTGCCAACTCTCCTCAGTCGTTTTTCCCCTCAGTCTTGATTCCCATGGGACCTTACCTATCAGCTCTCTGAGCTTACCAAAATCCGCCTTCCTGAAATCCATTGTCTCTATTTTGCTGTACTCCCTTCTACCCTTCCTTAGAATTTCAAACTCTATGATTTCATGATCACTTTCACCCAAGCTGCCTTCTACTTTCAAATTTTCAATGAGTTCCTCCCTATTTGTTAAAATCAAGTCTAGAACAGCTTCCCCCCAGTAGCTTTTTCAACCTTCTGAAATAAAAAGTTGTCTGCAATGCAGTCCAAGAATTTGCTGGATAGTCTGTGCCCCGCTGTGTTATTTTCCCAACATATATTTGGATAGTTGAAGTCCCCCATCACTACCAAATCTTGGGCTTTGGATGATTTTGTTAGTTGTTTAAAAAAAGCCTCATCCACCTCTTCCACCTGGTTAGGTGGCCTGTAGTAGACTCCTAGCATGACATCACCCTTGTTTTTTACCCCTTTTAGCCTAACCCAGAGACTGTCAACACTTCCGTCTCCTATGTCCATTTCCACCTCAGTCCAAGTGTGTACATTTTTAATATATAAGGTAACACCTCCTCCCTTTTTCCCCTGTCTATCCTTCCTGAGCAAGCTGTACCCATCCACACGAACTTTCCAATCATGTGTATTATCCCACCAAGTTTCAGTGATGCCAACAATGTCATAGTTGTATTTATTTATTAGCACTTCCAGTTCTTCCTGCTTATTACCCATACTTCTCGCATTTGTATATAGGCATCTAAAATACTGGTTCGATCTTGCCTCCCAGTTTTGCCCTGACCCTCCTTTCTCTCTGCCATGATAGCCCACACTCCCTCTTGTTTCCGACCCATCTCCCAGGTCTCCATGTTCCCCACTTACCTGTGGGCTTTGCTCACCTGTCCCTGTCGAACCTAGTTTAAAGCCCTCCTCACTAGGTTAGCCAGTCTGTGTCCAAATAGGGTCTTTCCCCTCCTCGAAAGGTGAACGCCATCTCTGCCTAGCTTAAACACAACCAGATAGTATGCAATCGAAGTTCTTGCCATTGAGAGCTGTTCAGTGGCCTGTGTGAAATGGCTTTGGTGGTCTTAGTTTAGTCCTTGGCAAAACGGGGGGCACACCATTATTCTCTGAGCCTGCTGGACTGTCTGAACAGAGAGGCCGAAAGTGCCATGAGACTCCTCTCACCCCAAAGGCAGCCCCTGTGGGTCAGAATGTGGGGGAACTTTGCCATGCCAGTGCCCTAGTTGTATTTCTCCTGTGTCTGAACAGAGGAATTGAATCTCCCCTGCTTCAACCTAGTACTATTACCCACCCCTCAACCCACAGAAACCTCAGAGTTGTGATAACAGCAGAATGTCCAGTACAGGATAAGTCTCCATGTGCATGGGAAGGGATTCACTGACCTAGAGAGCCCTTTCCATCTCTAATACCTTTGACTCTGTGTAGTTTATGAGTGAGATGTACAGGAGGTAAGGTGAACCCAGCCCACTTTACTTGCAACTGCCACTTTCTTTGCTTCAGGAGTTCCCTTAATCTCAAGGCTCAGGCAGTCTCATTAACCGTAGGGAGCATGAAGGATAAACTTGCATTGATGTTCTCAACAAACTCTGCTACTGGCACTTTAGCTCTCCCTTCATGGTGTTTAGGCTTCACTTGTGCTTCAATACAACTTCAGGGCACAGGATGAGATCCCTGATCCGTGTCTTTGTTTGACAACCCCAATTGAGCTAAAACGTAAACCCCACTTCAAGCATGCTCCTGCAGCTTCTCCTCAGAGCTGAGAGCATATTGGCCTTTCCCACGCCTGGCTCACAGCGATAACTCTGAAACAGTCACAAATGCTAGGGTAGCTTAAATAAAACAATGTGTATTTTGATATGAAGAGTGGAAAGAGAGAGCATCAATGGACACGAAAATAAATCACAAAGCTTCGTAGCATATCAGCTCCCCACTCTACTAGGAACTGTACAAACACTTAAATATTGCACCTTAATTTACACTTACAGATTAACAGAGTTTTAATGTAGGGAACTGTCAAGGCATTTTGCAGCATGTATAAAAGCTCCACCCCCAACCACTTATAGCAAACCCTTAAAAGCCTGATACTCAAATGTGTTCCCTGTAGCATGCATATGCACTGTAATGTGTCAGCAGTGCCAAAGGCTGAAGCACAGCTACTGTTATGTTCTTGATGGATCTCCTTAGACACTGGGACACAGTGCATTGTATGTGTTCTTCCAGCTTCTCATAAAAAGCAGAGAAATCAGATATAAATATCTGTGCTTTCTCCTGTGTATTCTCATCTTTCTTTATTCACAAACACCAACGATTATCTTTTTTCCTCAGATTACTTGGGTTCAGTGTAAGATCATGGTTCATGGTCATTTGGGGAGACAATGTCCAGCCCAACTCTGGCAGCTGGGCAAAGATGGAACTCAGCCTGAGAGCTCTTGTCTCCTCATTCTTTCCTTCATTAGAAAGAGAAGACCCGACCAAGTGAGGCTGCTTCAGTGGAGAGAGAATTTGCTGTGAGAAAACAGTCTCCATAATTGCTTCTCTCCCTTTGGGAAAAGGAAGGCACTTGGAGATCCTTTTCACTCCCACGGCTTCTCTTCAGCTAGCTGAAAGGACCCTGAGGAACGCTCGTGGGAGGAATTTTTGTTGACAAAGTGCTGAGGGCTCCTTGCTTGGCTTTATGAAGTGGCTTGTGCTCTGTGCTTGTGGGTAAAAGGCCTTACACAGCTCCTAAATTACTTGATTGTTTTTAGACATGAGTTTGAATCCGTCATCCAGTATGGACCTCCTGTTGCGTCTTAACCTCCTTTGCCTCTCGAGGTGGATGATCATACCCAGCAGGAAGCTGGCAACGAGGAACAGCACAATCCCTGCAACAGCCAGAACGATGACTGTGACCGCCACTTGCTCCTGAGACATCTTAGCTCCAAACACAACGATCTTATGGGACTCATCCTCAGGAGAGGGCTCTGAGAGCAAATGAAAGGAGAAGGTGACTGTTGGGGGGCGGGAATGAGATGATTTAAGGCATCTGAGAAACATGGAGACAGGGGAGTAGAGGGGAAGGAGAGATTCAGTATATGGGAGGGGCCTGTCAATTGTTGCTCAATCCCACAGGTCCCTCATCCTTCAGGCTGTGAAGGAATTTGCAGAGTGAGCAACAATTTCCCCTTCTGTAAACCCTTCCATCCAAGGATCTCAATGTATTTCACAAACATTCACGCATTAAAACTCACACATCCCTATTAGCAAGTATCATTATCCCCCTTTTTACAAATAAGGAAACTGAGGCACTGAGGCAAAGTGATTTGCCCAAGATGTTACAGCAAGTCAGTAGCAGAGATGGGAATAAAACCCAGGTGTTCTGTCCCTTGGTCACTATGCAGTAAGCATTAGAAAACACTTCACAGCTATTGCTGCTGCCAGCTCGCTAATCCCACCTCTAGTGCTGATATCACTGGAGTACACGAGACTCATCCTGCATCATTTTTGCTGCTGTTCCAAGTCACTGGCCCTGGCAGCTAAATGACCATGGTGAGCCATTAAAAATCTTACGCTTTCCAATATTTTTTTGGGGGTGGGGGGTCAGTAACCGACTCGGAGTGGGGTTCCAGCTCCTCTAGCTGCACTAGGGGATCGGGGGATTATAACAGCATGGGGGGTGCAGTGAAACAGGGGCAAACTCAAACAGGGGAGGGGCACAAGCGCATGGGAGGGGGCATGGGTGCACAACGGGAGGGGCTTATCAGGGTGAGGGGGGGGTTGCAGGGGGAGGGGAACAACGAGATTGGGAGTGGGGCAGAGGAACCAAGGGCTAGCTTCAGGGCTGGGGCGGGACAAACAAAGCTGCAGAGGGAAATGGGCGGGGCAGACAAACAAACCAAAGCTAGCGAGGGGGCTGGGGCAAAGGGGAGGGGCAAAAGGCTGCAAGGGGCAAATGGGGCAGGCAGCAAGGGGCAAAGCTGGGGGCTTGCTGCAGGGGGGAGGGGGACCAAAGGATGTGAAAAGTTTTTGAGAAGCAAGACTTGCTTGGCTAATTGCGTGAAGAACTGTACACCAGGGCGTTTGATTAACATGTAGCTGCTTGAGACTGGTATAAAATTAACTGCTTACTCCTATAACTCCTGACAGGTTTTCTATTTCTCCTCCTCTTAGTACTCATTTTGAGCAAGGAAAATATTCTTTGTAAATTGATAGCTCTGAAATGATGGCGGGGACAGGAGGGAGAAATTGGAAATATAGGGCCAGATCCTCAGCTGGTCTAAATTGCCTCTGAAGACAATGAAGCTCCTCTGTCCATTCATTCCAGCTACAGATCTGGCCCATATATTTTGGGTGTAGTAATTCTGATGCAGTATGAAAAGGGACGAGGGAGAGCAGCCCAGAGTCAATTTTCAATGAACTCCCTGTGGCAGGCAATTTTAAAAGAAGCTCATACATGAGATGATTCTGAACCTTTAAATACTTCTTTCTGCTATTAGTTCTATTGAATCACTTCAGAAAACATTGGTTCAAGCAATTAATTTCCCTGAGATAATGTTAGAAATTGTGATGGTGGATGTTTAGGCTCCTCTTTGGAAGAAAGGAAAATACATACTGTACATTTAACGGGGAAATAAAGCCAGGGCCGGCTCCAGGGTTTTGGCCGCCCCAAGCAGCCAAACAAACAAAAAAAAGTCAAAAACAAAACACACACAAAAAGCCGCGATCGCGATCTGCGGCGGCAATTCGGCGGAAGGTCCTTCGCTCCGAGCAGGAGTGAGGGACCGCCCGCCGAATTGCCGCCGAACAGCTGGACGTGCCGCCCCTCTCTGAAGTGGCCGCCCCAAGTACCTGCCTGGTAAGCTGGTGCCTGGAGCTAGCCCTGAATAAAGCTAATGTTTGACACTGACAGCGTCCCTCAGTTAGAGGGCTCTTGTGGTCATTTATAAGAGTGAGACTTTTACAAACAAAAGCTGTTGGGTTTGGTTGGCGGAGCAAGGGAAGTTATCCTCGCCCCAACTTCCTATTTTTACTCTATACTAGTTCGAAGCTTGAAATCCCTGTGCAGATGAATAAGTACATGATAAATGCAATATAGTGGGAGATCCCTCTGTTCGCTGTTCAGTGGGTTAGCCTCAGAGGCAAATTTATCTGAGGTGCAACCTCATTGAAGACAGCACTATGCTAGGCATGAATTTGACCTTTGTTTAGCCTAACCAACAGAAGGTTGAGGGGAGATGATTGTTCTCCATAAAAACATCAAAGGAATAAACACCAGGAAGGGAGAGGAGTTATTTAAGTTAAGCACCAGTGTGGATCCAAGAATAAATGGATATAAACTGGCCATCAACAAGTTTAGGCTGAAATTAGATGACGATTTCTAACTATCAGAAGAGTGAATTGTGGAACAGCCTTCCAAGGGGAGCAGTGGGGGTAAAAAACCTAACTGGCTTCAAGACTGAGCTTGATAAGTTTATGGAGGGGATAGTATGATGGGACTGCCTAGAATGGTGTGTAAACCGATTTGCAACTGCTAGCAGCAAATATCCCCCAAGGCTGGTGATGGGACACTAGATGGGGCGGGATCTGAGTTACTACAGATAATTCTTTCCCAGGTGTCTTGCTAGTGGGTCTTGCCCACATGCTCAGGTCTAACTGATCACCACACTTGGGGTTGGGAAGGAATTTTCCCCCAAGTCAGATTGGGAGAGACCCTGGGAGTTTTTCGCCTTCTTCTGCAGCATGGGGCACAGGTCAATTGCAGGATGTAAACCATGTAAACAGTGGATTCTCTGTAACTTGAAGTCTTCCATAACTCAGCCACAGGTTATAGGTCTATTACAGGAGTGGGTGGGCAAGATTTTATGACCTGTGATGTGCAGGAAATCAGACTAGATGATCATGATGGTCCCTTCTGGCTTTAAAGTATATGAGACCTGAGGGCTTGAAATGCCCTTTCCAACTCTGTGATTGATCTGTGATTCTGTAAAGCAAGCGGATTCATTGGTGGGGGAGGAGCACACACGGTGAGATTCTGAAAAAGCCACTTTTACTAGTCCTGATGTACAGAAAATGCAAAGCAAAAATGAAAACAGGTGCTAAAGCACCTCTGATATTTTTTAAATCATCTCACTCTGCTCCTTTGTCATTTCAAGCACTGGGCAGCACAGCCAAGATAATTCACGCCTTCCTAGTGCAAGAGCATCTTACACAATGCGAGAGCTGCAAAACAGTAACTTCCAGCTGGAAGTTATTATATGCCTGTGGTGCAGAGGCCTGTGAAACCATAGGAAAGAGTACGCAAGAAGAGGAGCTGACCCTTTCTGAAGTGAAAGGCAATTCACTCTAATAACTGCATAGAGCAGATATATTTGGAGCTATTATAAACCAATACCTCCCCAAACACAAGCGAGAAACTCAGACACTCCAGCAAGTTGATTCAGGTGAGTCAAAAATCTCCATTTAGAATATACTCGAAACACCGCATAATCAAAGAGCATTGGGCTTCTGCCCTCCTTGTTTCTTTATGATAGTAAAGACTACCTGAAGGGATGTTTGAGTGTTTTTCTGTTTGGGTTTTACTTGTGAAATATCGAGTCTCTTATCCCCTGGGTTGTTGGAAAAGCGGGTTTAAGAGCATGTGTGTTGTGAGTTTTCACACCTTGACTGAGGGTGCTGAATTTTCAACAAGGGCTATTTTTCTCCAAGCTGTTCATTTGTCATTTGAGTTAATTAGGTGTTACTGAAAACAAACAAAAGAAACCCAAGGAGGTTTAGACAATCAGACTGAACTCTTCTTCCCCCTTGCTTACTCGGTCTCTTCGCTCTTGTGAGTGTACAATTTCACTAGCACTCAAGTTGCTACACAGTCTACCAGGTAGATAAAGTAAGAAGTTCTAACGTATAACAGAACAGGAAAAACACCCTTTTAAAAAAACAAAGAAATCTTTCAAGCCTTCTTTTTAAGTGGTCATAAAGAAGCAAAAAGGGTACAAGCCCTTTTTTTTGCAGGTCACTTTTACCTGCTGGATTGTCTTAACTAAGCACAGACATGCTGAGGATAGAGAGGTTATGGAGGAGGGGCAATTCTACTGATGAAACACACAAGCAGGCAGAGCCCACCCACCACCATTCACGTTGCTTATAGTCATACCCCACACTAGGGTGACCAGATGTCCCGATTTTATAGGGACAGTCCCAATTTTTGGGTCTTTTTCTTATATAGGCTCCTATTACCCCTCACCCCCGTCCCGATTTTTCACATTTGCTGTCTGGTCACCCTACCTCACACTAACACAACTCCCCCCATATTTATACTTGGGGAACACAGAGACTGGGATGTGGATACACCCCAGCCCAGAGGCACATGGAAATGGGATGAGATATGGTTTCTTGTGCCTCCCCCCCACCCCACCCTGCCCCACACACAGATCCAACCACAACCTGATCCAAATCTTCTGTCTGTAGGGTAAGTTCAACCAGCACCATCCCCTACACACAATGCAAGAGGCTTTTTCAGCAATGTAATGCAAATCATACCTCCTTTTGTCTTTAAGATCATGGGCACTGTCTCTGAAAGAGAATGACAAATTAGTGATCAATTGTTATGCTGCATAGGAAAAAAGCAATCAGTGTAGACTTTATAGGAAGGCTATTGTTATCTATCCTGGGTACAATTTTCAAAAGCACCTAGTGACTAAGTCTCAATGATTTTCAATGACAGTTTCCGAAGTCAATTAGGTGCTTTTGAAGAAGTTAGCCTCTCTATATACTCTGTTGTAAATGCCTGTAGAAGGCCATGCACGCTAATAGGTGATGCCATTTCCAACCCCTACAGCACAAGGCTAGTAGAAGGGAGTGGAAACCAGCTTCAGCACCAGTTGGACAGTTAGAGCAAGCACCTAGATAGCAAGAACAAATATTAATTATAAGAACATAAGAATGGTCATACGGAGTCAGACCAATGGTCCATCTAGCCCAGTATCCCTGTCTTCCAACAGTGGTCAATGCCAGATGCTTCAGAATGAATAAACAGAACAGGGCAACTATCGAGTGATCCATCCCCTGTTGTCCAGTCCCAACATCTGGCAGTCAGAGACTTAGGGACACTCAAAGCAAGGGCTTATATCCCTGGCCATCTTGCCTAAGAGCATTGATGGATCTATTCTTCATAAACTTATCTAATTCTTTTCTGAACCCAGTTATACTTTGGGCCTTCACAACATCCCCTAGCAACGAGTTCCACAGGCTGACTGTGCGGTGTGTGAAGAAATACTTCCTTTTGTTTGTTTTAAACCTGCTGTCTGTTACCTTCATTGGGTGACCTCTGATTCTTGTGTTATGTGAAGGGATTATTATAACACTTAACAATGGCTTCCATTTTTACAGATGTAATTGTATGTCCACAGTTCAGGGCGGCATAAAATTGTTCCTCCAAAAGAAAAGAGGCCAAGCAGAATGTCCTTGCAAAATCTGCCTCTAAAGATCTGTTTCCTAATCCTTTTTTGTATTATGTCTCTGTGGTGAATGTCACGTACTACATCAGACTGTTTCCTGGGTTCCAGCTCAGACACTGAATTTATTAAAACATGTATTTTTCAGCACTTGCTAGATTTTCTTTCTTTCTTTCTTTTTCTTCTTCTGACCTTCCTTCCATTCAGGAGAGCACCTTTGCACTCCCAAGTCTCAGTTAATTTCAGGCACCAGGGCTAGCCAATTAGGGCTCCTGCGACTCCAATGAGGTACACGATCCTTCGATAACTTGTGGAAGGGAAGGGCATGACAAGATGCCCTTAAACTGTTCATCACAAAATAGCTTCTAATGTTTTGTGATTAGATCAGAACACTTTCAGTGCGCATCTGTAATGTAGCTAGCACTTTTACTAATAACAATAGCTGGAGGATCACTGGACAGTGCTTCCAGGATAGACAACAACATAAACCTAATAATAATATCTAGGGCTGTGTAAACTCTGGGTCTGAAGTGTTTATTAGCCCCAAATACTGTTTATATGGTGTTAACAAGGAGCAGCTTAAGTTAATAACACTTTAGTTAGTTAGTGAATTACTGTGTGTGTAGAGCACTTTGACGCACTATAAGTACTAAGTATTATCATTAGCTGGAAGTACACTTAAGTTAATTAGGAAGATGACTGCATAGAGATGGCTACTGCTCTCTCCATACCTTGTCTGGGTAAGACTCTGTAGAGTGCCTCCATGCCACCATGAATATGATCTGACACATGGCAATGAAGCAACCACGTCCCAGGGTTCCCAACCACCATCTCCACCATTTCGAAGGTCCCAGGGAACAGATCCACAACATCTGCCCTGTAGCTCTTGCCGTTCTGTCAAAAGGGGAAGGGGGATGTTAGCATGCAATGGTTCATGTATCTGTAGAGAACTCTGGTCTAGAGTAACAAGGATCTGGGGGGCAGGATCCTTCTGCCTGGAAACCTTGTTGATGCTACAGTAGTTCATAAGAGTTGTAACAAAAAGTTACCAAAAGCAACTCCAGGGTCCTAAGTGGAAAAGGAGTGTAACCTGCTAAAGCCTAAGCTTGAGATTGGTTAGCTAGAGAGATCAACGCAATACTGGGATCCCCTGGGTCTGCTTTGGGCATGTAAAATCATCTCCTCTTGCTGGTTACATGACAATGCCGCAAACACATCCAACTGCCTGAAGTTAGTTAAGGGGTCAAATGAATGTAATGGTATCCCAGCCCCAATCTTCCCTTGCTGCTGGGCTCCGCAATCAGCAGGAGATTCTCACCCTGTACGTGAAGGTCTCAGCATGAAAATGGACTGTATGCACATCGATCTCCTGGCCCATTCCCAGCAGGTACCAGTTCACCCGGTCTCCTTGGTGCATGGTCAGTCCAGGCAAGTTTGCGTAGAGCTTCCCATTGATGGCTGTGGGGTAGACAACACATTGAGAAAGCAGAATGATGTAGATTATAAGGACCTCACAACATGTCAGTGCAAAAACAGTTCCCCTCAAGGCAGGTTAAACCTTTCAAAGCTCAACTAGGGTCAAGTAAATCAGACATTTGTCTCTTCTGTTGTGAGATTCCCACACAGCATGATTTCCTGATGTTTTGTCAGTCACCTCCCAACTCAGCTACTGCACCTGCTTTTCAGCTGGGTTGACTGAGTCATAAAAAGGTCAAGTGACTTGTCCCAAGCGGACACTATGTCAGTGACGTAGCTTGGCTAAATCTCAGAACTCTCCTCCTTCCTGCTCTTTTGCTTTTACTACTGAAGAATATTCCATCTCCGAGAGCTGAAGGCAGCAGGAGCAGCTGGGTGCTTTTGAAGATCAGGACATGTAAATATGGTCTTTGTAGCCTAACTGCAGTTACACATGTTTAAAGTCCACTGCCCATGCACTTATGTAGCAGTGGAAACATTACAGGTGCCCGTCAACAGGCAAATTCCAGCATACGACACCTCTACCCCGATATAATGCGACCCGATATAACACAAATTCGGATATAACGTGGTAAAGCGGTGCCCCGGGGGGTGGGGCTGCGCACTCCGGCGGATCAAAGCAAGTTCGATATAACGCGGTTTCACCTATAACGCGGTAAGCTGTTTTGGCTCCCGAGGACAGCGTTATATCGGGGTAGAGGTGTATATGTCGTCGTACATTACTCGGAGGTGCTGGTCATTTGTAAATTGCTATTCCATAGGATTTCATTTCCCAATTAGCACAGCAACAATGAGAGCTGCACTTTGTCTGCAAATGAAATAAGGATCGAAAACAATGAAAGAGCAGCATAATAAAGCAAGGCGGCACATAGGGAAATCTCCACTGAGGGCAATGGGAGAGGGTATGTGCTGGAGAGAGACATGTTGTGAGGCCAGGAACTTCTGGCACCTGTACTTTTCTGTTCCATCGCTGTTGCTTGGATAATAGTAATGACTAGTTGTCACCTACATACATCTGTGATTGGGGCCTTATAAATGCCACAGTAATAACAGCAACACGGGCCCTGACTCTGTGTGGTGTTGAGCAGCACTAAAGCCAAAGGAAGCACTCAGCAGGAATCAGGCCCTTGTGTATTAGACATCTGTCAGCCAATGCACAATGTACCTTACACAATTAGCAATCTAAATAACACCTACACATCCAAAAGGAGATGGCTCCTAGGTGGATTTCTAATTCTGGTAGTGGGGCCAGAAGGAGATGCAGGTCGAGAACTGACTTTCCCTATCTCTGCACCTTTGTCGATGAGGCCCATGCAAATGGCAAAGGCAGCTCTGAATGGGGCCCAGTAAAAGATGTGAAGTGAAGGCCACGCACCATGCATTTTGTTGCTTTCCACAAATTCTTCATCCTGCAGGTTGATTTTGCTCTGATTCCCATGTGCATACGTTTTCACATTTTCCTCCAGGTACCATGACTGATTTTCATCAAAAACCAGGAAGAGGAGTGCAAACTCCCTGTTGATGCCCTTCCTCTTCCCATCAGAGCCCAGCGCCCCTTTACGGCAGACCTTTAGGGGGCCTATCAGGCCACTGTACATATCCTAATAGGAAAGAGAAGAAAGTCTGAGGTGTTCAGAGATGGGGATTTTCCTCCTATCCCTCCTGCACACAGCTCCGCTACCATTCAGCACCCTGGCTTGCTGCTCCCTGCAGTACTCTCCATAAAATACATTGCAAGCCACTGAATAATCAATCGTGTGTGTGAAATACGGTCTATTGGAAATAGTTAACAGAAACGACAAGTGCAGGGCCAGATGTTAGCAGTTAATTACTGCTGTGCATTGGGTGCAACATGGAGCTGTGACTCTCCTACTGACGGTACATGGGGACGTTAAGCCACCCCATAAAAGGTACATGCATCTGCTCCGTAGCTGGCCAGCTCTATATGGCAATGCAGAATGGCCTTACCTCCTCCCTGCCCTGTTATTTGTCCCGGGGAGGGGGAGGGAAAATAGCAAAATGTGAAACTGCAGCTGATCCCTGTGCAGATGATGCCAGGTATTGGGGGAGGGCTCCTTGAACCCCCAAACAGAGCCAAGGATAGGTGCTTTAAGGTATGCAAATCAATAGACATAATATTAATAAATAATAAATTTTAATAAAATATTTTCCATTTAATGCACTGACTGCACAAATACCTGGGTTTGGGGATAAAACACAAATGATTTCTGTGGCTAAATGAGATACTCTACAGGCAGGATTCTCAGTTAATTAAAGTATTTTGAAGTTTAGGGGGCTTTGCTTTTTCTTGGTTAAATAAATCCATATACTGTAAAATGCTATAAATGTTCAAAACTCCCTGAATTATCTAGGTTGACTAATTCTGGATGATTTCTGCCTTTCCAAACTTAGCTCTGAGCTGTCTAGCTAGGCAAAGCCATAACTAAGCGGGGGGCGGGGGAGGGGGGGCAGATGTGATAACACCGTATAAATATTTGAAGGGTGTTAACGCCAAGGAGCAGGAGGAATTATTTTATGAGGGACTATATTAAGAAAGGGAGAATTTAGGCTTAATGTCAAGATCAACAATGAGATCTATTCACCTGTCTAATTGTCTCCCTAAGGGAAATGGTGAAAGCTCCATCACATGGGACACCGCATTCTAAACTGGACCAAACTCTAAAATATATCCTACAGGGAACAACCCCAGTTTGTTTCCTAGGAGACTGTCTAGATGATCGCTAAGGCTTTTCCATCTCTAACTTGTTTTATTCTAAGATTCCAACCACATTTTACCTTTACAGGATCCACCATAGAGTAGTAAACCCAAGAAACACAGACAAAATCATTTGGTCCTGGACCGGATCTTTCAGGAACATCCCAGCGGTAAGTTACAATGTCACCTGAGAGACAAAAAGGAGTGACAGTAGTAGTAGTTGCTATTTGTACTACAGCAGCAACTAGCAGCCCCAGCCCAGCCCAGGGCCAGGATCCCTATATGCTATACAGACACAGAACAAAAACATGGTGCCTGCCCCAAAGAGCAACATTATGGCAGTCTTGTGGATATTACAGATTCTTTCCCTGGTTGTGAACAATAGACTAGAGACTCTTTCCTCCCCTTACAAACAAAGGAGGTGGCATGATGGAGATGGGGAGTGGAAAAGGATCTGAACCTCAACTTATGGAAAATCACCTCAACCTTTACCTGAATCACCCAGGACTAGCGCTCTCCAGGGAAATTCTGGCTCACTTCCTGAGAGACATGGGGTGTCCTTTGGAAGCTTTGAAGTATATTCACAGAGGTGCCTGCCACTCTCATTCAGATTCAACTTTTTGTTATATATTATACAGTTTTAAAAATAGAAGCTGATTGAGAGTCTGGATGGCTTGGAGGGGCTGCGTAGTCCAGATACAGAGCCTATGAGATCCCAGCTCCAGTCAAGCCATTGGTGGCAGTGACCAAAAGTTGTTCCCTTGAGTGAGGGCTGTAAGGGAAGTGAGCTGGTCTCAGCAGTTCCTAGCAGACCGTTGTCCACATCATAAAAGAACACTATCACAGCCCAATGTCACTCGTTGGTCCCCTCATTGGCACTCTCATGGCCAAGCGCTAACTAGGCTCTGGACACTACACGTCCCTGTGACAGAGTGCTGAGGGATGGAGAGCCAGCACTCCAGTCACTATTAGCACCAATTAGGTTCCCGGCAAAGGCCTGATTAGTCAGGTGTGTGCCTGATTATTAGGCCGCACTGGGGTTAGGAAGCTAATGAGCTAACTGGCCCATTAATAGACAAGTGATTTAAAAAGAGTTTAGGAAGGCAGAAAGAGAGGAAGAGAAAAAGAAGGCAAGGTAAGACTGACAAAGGGCATTTGCAGAGCAGATTTGCCTAACTTTCCCTCTCCCCACCCCTCCTATTTTGGAGAAAGGATTAGAAGGTTGGATACAGTTCAAAAGAGTGGGGATATGCTATGTTCTGGTGGTGGGATTAAAACACTGTAAACTACCTGGTGGTGTTTACAAGCAAGAGGGTCTCAGAGCGGTCTGTGTTTGTGGACCAGGAGGGAATGTAGCATGCTGCCCAGTTACAACTGGGGACTTGTCTGGGATTTGCCTGCATCCATTTCGAATGGATGGTGTAGGGATTTGGCAGTCTGGGTGATGGAGGGAACCCTGCAATGGCAAAGAGAGCTCCTGAAGACCTTCCAGTGATTTCCCCGTCCCCCTGCCCTTGCTTGCCTATTGATGGGCTAATTAGCCCATTAGCTTTCTAGTCCTAGTGGGACCTAATAATCAGGCACACCCCAGATCACTCAGGCCTTCTCCAGAGGATCCTAACTGATGCTAATAGTGGCCAGATTGCTGGCTCAAGCTCCATCTCTCGGCACTCTGTCACAGTCCCTCTCATTTCTAGAGATGAACCCTCCAGGGTAGGGGTGCACTGGTGTTGAGTAACCTGGAGGAGGGAATTTGCACTGCCTCTACCCAGGTTGTGTGCCTTCTGTGACTAAAGAGAGGATGTTACTGTACAGGGCTGCCAAGCCAGCACATTAGATGAACAATAAAAATACATTGCACATGAAAGGCTGGTTTCTATTCAGCTCCAATTACTTATCACATTAAAACAAACACACCAGAATAACTTCTATCCTCCTAGCTGGGTCTTTTTAATGGGTTGAGTCGTCATTGCCGTATAAACAGAAGTTAGCCTAACTAATAGCTGACTACTGACTCACCAGGCTTTGCAGCTTCCACCTGTCCATCATTCCTTTCCAGTACCCCATGCGCATGAATGGAGTAGGCTTGTGTAGCATTGTTCTTAAACACAATGTTGAGGACATCTCCAACTTCTGCCCAGATAAAAGGACCTTGAGACAGGAAGATCATACTGTGAGTGCGGCTCCCATCAATGGCCAAAAGAGAGTATTTCTCTCTATCGTTTATTGAAATCACTTTAACGTAGGGGTGGGAGGTGAATTCTTCATCACTGTATCCCTCCCCCCTTCCCCAAAGTAAAGAATCATAGTTAAACCCACATTCAAGATGATCCTGAAAACTCTGATTGTGAACTCTTCAGGGCAGGGAACGTGTCTCGTTATGAGCACAGTGCCCAGCACAGTGGGTCCCAGTTCTGATCTCTGAGTGCCACCATAATGCAAATGATTCCTCATCATCATCCAACTACAGTCCCCAATGGTCTGATTTAACCAGACCTGACAGTGTAAAATGGCCTGAAACTGTGACGGCTCATAGCCATAGCCTGTTCTTTTAGATTGGATATGCTGCCTCACGTTGCTTGTGCTGTACTGAAATATCCTGGAGTGAGGCAGTGGAGCTGTTGCCTCCTTAGACTCTCGTAAGAATCCACAGCATGCTCCTCTGCTTCACAGTGCCTGGTTCTTTCTTTAATGATGCCACACAGAGGGGTTTCTTTCACACTTGGAGATTTCCATCCATAGCTCTCAAAGTGCTTTACGAAGGTAGGGTTTATCCCTATTGTACAGATGAGGGGGAACAGATGTGAGAACTGACTTGGCCACAGTCACACAGCCAGGCAGAGGCAAACCCAGCTCTCCCAAGTCCCAGTTCCTTGGCTTATTCTTCAGGACTAAGTCTCAGCCCTGTCTGAGTGAAAGATGCACCACTCAAATAATTACTTACCCAATATCCCTAAATGCTCCTCATCGATGGTCCTGTTCTTGGGTATTCTGAATGTCCCATCAGTGTATTCCCTGTAAATTGCCTTCTTGTACTTGGAGCCCAGGAGTCCGTTCTCATTGCTCAGAAATTGGTTGCCATAGCTGAGAAATGCAGAGTGCTGTGTTACGTTAACACTGCTCTGTTTGCATTAAAGAAACAGCACTTCTCTGTGGGCAGAGGGTTCATTAACTGAACCAGTTTCCTCCCCAAAGAGTCCCCAGTTTCATATGACATCAGCTGAGGGAGTTGAATGGCTCTGGGAGTTGGTAAGAAGATACAGAGCCAGTGAGCCACACACTTCCAAGCCACCCATTGGAATCTGTCTCGGGATGATAGTGATCAAAGTTACCGCACTCCCATATGAGGGGTGGCTGCTCACTGGCTTACGTGAAGAGTGTTAGGGGAAGATCAGTCTATTTGGTGGTGGACAGATGTGTGCATCAAAAAACCACCACCTCAACTGGCACCAGTGAGCGGACACAGAGACGGAATTTCCCTCTCACATACAGATATGCAAGGAGCTGCAGAATACAGGGAGGGAAAACACTGCCAACATTTGGATTAAAGGGGATAATGGCCCCCGACCCCCTGATGAGGGCTGTCTGCAGTACTATGGCATGGTCAGCCAGTATCCATCCAATCAGCAGAGGTTTGACTCTCTCCAGTAAACAGCCACTTCCTCTGTTTTAATGGGTTTTACAAAGTTTTGCCTGAAGGTGCCACAGGTTTCCCCAAGGTGCCCTCTTTACCTTTCCTGCCCAGAGATGTTGTGGTGTTCCAGCTCCCAGCTGCGATCTGGTGAGTAGTCCCACTCCACCTCTTGTGCCATGATGTAGTGTGTCCGCACCTCCTCGTATTGGGGGTCAGGAGCAGGTGCCCCTTTGCCACACTTTGAAACAGAGTAACGCGCCTTCATCCCAGACTGGTAATGGTTGCTAGTCTGACAGTAGATCTCAAAAGTGCCTAGGGGCAGCACAAACAAAAAGATCAGCTCTAAAGATCTAAGCAAGTCCTTTCCTTACCACGTGAGATGAACCGGGAAATAGCTGTATTATTTCTTATGAATATGGTGCATACCTCTGTGTGTCTGTTTATGATGTGTCTCTTGCTGTGGGGTGAGATCGAGAGTTGTTGTTAGAGGAGCCAAGCAGGAAGGCAAAACAATGGCCTAGGTAAGGAACATCCCAGCAAGCACACACACACCAGCCAAGTTATTGGCTGTAAAGAAGCTACCTGCTTGGTGCCAACAAAGTTACACAGCTGTTTTGTCAAGCGTGAAAAGAGAGAGAGCAAAAGACACCGGCCAGTTAAAGGATTCATCCTGCAGAAAGGGAGGGGAAGGAAGGATTGACACAGTGAGAAGGTCTGCAGGGATGAAAACAAACCCTCAGATTCAGAAAGGGAGTCTGGGATAAACTGGACCTACCTGAGCTATAGCTGGAGATGCTTAGCTTAGGTATGATAAGATGCATATGTGACCTTTTGTTTTTAAGTCATTTTCCTACATGCAGTGTTCCCTTTGGCAAATCAGTACTTTGTTTTGAAGAAGTTCTTTCTGTGTCACTGCAAATTTATCCTGTCACGGGCTGCCGGAGTGAGAGGACCGACCGGTGTCAAAACCAGTTGGGCCTGTCAGGTTAAGACAGTTGGGAAATGAGTGCTACCGCCCAAAGATCTAGTTTATGAATGGTATGGCTGGGTGGTTCCACCCAGGGTGAGGGGCAGGAAGCCAGTGCTGTCCCTGCAGGGGTGCACTCAAGAGGAAGTGAAAGGGGTCTAAAGTGCAGCTCGCCCTGTAACTTTGACACCGCTTGTAGACAAATCAGCACGAGAGAACAAATATTAACATTTGAGAAAGCTGATTGGGCATCAGAGAAGTTGTGCAGGCATCTACCTTCATGATCAGGCTGCATGAGGGCGGTAGCAAACGTGTGAGGGAACAGATTGGTTGCATCTCTCCTCATCCCATTCATCTGAATAGTGTTTCCCTGGAATGCAGCTCCATGCACATCTGTGTCAGTGCCCAGACCCAGAAAGTGCCAAGACACAGTGTCCCCTTTACACACTTCCAGCTTGGGCAAGTTATAGAACATAAATCCATTAATTGCTGCAACAGAAAAGAATTAAAACCACACAGTTACACACTAGCTAGGAGGTGACCTCTGTACACACATACCTACAATGTAGAGCAACCTATGGGAATTGCATATTGCTGTGTATTCCTCAGTACAGTTCACCAGCAATTCATCCCTGGTATTTGCTTGAGTCATGCTTTTGGGCACAGCAGGACCTCATGTCCCATGACCCATTCATAGATTCATAGATTCTAGGACTGGAAGGGACCTCGAGAGGTCATCGAGTCCAGTCCCCTGCCCGCATGGCAGGACCAAATACTGTCTAGACATTCTCCAAGACATTGTTATGTAGAGAATTGTCAAAAGAGGTGCCTTTGATGCAAATCAGAAATTTAATTCCCAAGTCCACCTGATCTCTCTCTCTCTCTCCCCCCCCCCCCCCCGAGGGCATGTCCAAGGTACCTGTATTGGGATCCTTAGGTGCCATGGCAGTAGTTAGCTATTCCAGAGTTTTTAGGACCAGTTAAAGATGGACCCACGCCTCATAGTTCTGGACCCAAACCTCATAATTCTGTCCTCACTGCCTACGTAAGAGAGAGCACAGGGCCATACCGTGCATCCTGTTGGACTCCTTGAAGCTTTCATCCTTTGTCACAAAAGCCTCTTCCTTTCTCAAATAGTATTTTATATTTGCAGGTAAATACCAGCTGAGGTTCTCATCAAATACACTGAACAGGAGGTAAAATTCCTTGTCGATCCCTTTCTACAATAATAATCACAATAATGGTCATTCATTTTAAAAACACAGAGATCACCCACACCCGTTAACTGTTAAAGTACAGGCTGCTTTGCATGATGGCAATTTCTAATTTTTTGTTTCTTAAGTTGTTCACTTCCACCTCTTAGGGGGCCAAATGCTGATCTCTTTACTCATGCTGAGTAGCACTTACTTTACAAGTGGTCCCAGAGCAGCACTGGGACCATATGTGCAGAAAGGTGCTCCTCGGCATGAGTAAAGGGATCAGAATTTTGCCCAGACTGAAAAGTCATTCTCTCCTTCCCCCACAATCCATCGGTTCAGGTGCTGGACACTCCCCATCAGTTTCCAATAGGGTCAAATTCAGAACACTCCCCACTATGCAGGGTCTGGAGCTGGGCCCACCTCACTCCTCCCTAATACAAGATCAGAATCCAGATTTGTTTCCTACCATCAAGCCCTGAAAACTTTGTCGAGTCCAGTTTGAACCGACAGAAGCAATGAGACTTCCACAACTTCTATTGAGGAACCTATTCCACACACTAATATGTTTCCCTGTTAGGAGATCTTTGCTGATATTTAGCCAAAATTTCCATTTGCTCAGTTTCCTCCCCTTATTCTTAGTAATACCCCCTTGGACCACTCGTAATTATTTGACACTAGGATTTATTTACACCCTCAAATACCTGTAAATCGTTTATCATTATAACCTCCCCTCCACCTGCCAAGTTATACATAGTTTAATCTTTCCTCAAAATCAAACTCTCCTGCCCCTTAACCAGGTTTATTGCGCTCTTCTGAACTCTATCTAGTTAGCCACATCATTCTGATCCAGAAAGCAAGATCTTCAAGGGAGGCTTTTAAAGCAGCTGCTTTGCAGAGTCACCAGCAACTCCCCAATCCACATTATAATGTATTCACAATCATGCAGCTAGTTTTGTCTTCTGCTGCCCCCTGTTTGTCACAGGTGGGTCTGTTACTTCAGTGCTTCCTGTTCCCTTGTGTACTCCTTGTGCTACCTTAGCAACACCTGTGCAAAAGTGATGAACATTTCTTCATTAAATTCCAAGGGAAAGTGTAAATCAGTCCTAGGATTTCACTTATCTCCACATCACAAAAACCTGCAGAACACCATCCATTGTATGTGCTTTTGTTGTAAAATCACCCTTTCATTTGAGTTCTTCTCAAAATGGGCTGAGTTTAGAGTAGAACCTAGCTCCATTTGAAACTCAAAATGTTCCATCTTTCAAGCAAAAATTGCACAAACCTTTAGCAAAAATGGGACTGTTTTCAACTTAGTATGAAAATGATTTTCAATATTTTCAGTTTTGTGGTGAATTTTTCACACACCTCTCATTAATAATAGGAAGAAAAAGAATAGGGCATTCTGCCCTACATATATTAGGACAAATGTATCCCTGTGTAATCCCATAACTGTCAGTATAGGGTCAGACCAAGGATTTTGACAAAATCCACCTAAATGCAAAAGGTTTCCCTTTCCCTTAAATTAAACCCCAAGATTAGATTAGTCAAATACCTCAGGAATCCAATGTGTTAGGCTTCTCTCATAAGACACTTTGATGCATGAAGTTGGCATGGTTGAGGCAGCGCACGTATTCTGCCTAGATGCATTTATTCTAATCTGTGGGCCTCCCCCCGCCATGTATTTTTAATTATATTTCAGTTACCAAGGTTTTATTGGGGTCTCCTTTCTCCAGTTATTTCTTCACCACAGGACGAAGAGCCTGAATCATTGCAGTGGGAGAGCTGACTGTACCTGCTTGTTGCTGGTGTTGAGAGTCCCAGGTCTGCAGATCACCAGAGGGCCCACTAAGCCGGAACTGGTATCTTGGATGGGATTTATCGCAGAGGAGTACATCCAGGTCAGGCAAGGAGGGTCATTGGCAGTGGGTCCAACGTGCTGTGGTACAGTCCAGTGGTATGTGAAGTTATGGAGAGGCTCAACTGAAGCCCCATTCCATGACAGACCTTTAAAACACAAGATGCTGATATGTATTCATGTATACAGCCCCTTTGGCAAGCTCTGCAGCACTTCAGTGTCATCTGCTACTGTGATTCATTTCACTCACCACCAAAGGACAGCCACCTCCGGGGTAGAATGGGGCAGCCATTATATATCTCAGAAATATAGTAGGGTCATATTTACATATTACTGGACATACATGTGTGGGCAAATTTATTGTAGGTGTCATGACAGAGGTGGGCCTGATGGCATGAAATAAAGAAATATATCCAATTAAATCCTCAGGAGAATTTTGGTAGGTGGAATATAGCTACCCAAATTACAGTGTGACCAGGGATATATACCTCTGCTCTTGAAAGAAGTGTCACAGGATCTTTAGGGGCCAGAAATGGTCAGCACCATGATTTCATCTCTCCTCCAAGAAATAGTATCTCCAGCACCACCTCCTCTCTGGTGCCACGCTGGGCAGTGGTTCAGTGATAGGTCAAAGGGAAGAACATCCCCTACTGTATCACCAACCCCACTTCTCATGGTACACTAGCTGAGCAGGCCTCGCTTTGCTCAGCTAGTGAGGTCGGAGAGGACCACCACCCAATGGGGTGTGGCTGCAGACTGTAGAACCACACCACAGGGGTTGTCACTGCCTCAGTTTAGAAAGAGGGGGCGGGATGAAGTAACAAACCATCATGGTACAACGTTCCTTCCCACTTCTTTCCATAAAGCACACCATGGGGCTGGATACTGAAGGGCCAAGAGGCTTTGTTAGCAAATGTCACCAAGACGGTGTCTCCCACTTCGGCTTTTATCACTGGACCTGCGCACAGAGAGAGAGAGAGAGAGAGAGAGAGGATAATGGAGTGATTTCCAAGATAACTGGACAAAGCAGTCTATCAATGACGATTTTCTACCCAGAGTTCACAGCCAAGATGACTAACAACAATGGGCATAGCAGAAGTGCCAGCTGTCTGGTTTTGGTCATGCCCTTCAGGCAGACTGGCATTCGGGGCAGGGAGGGGGGAACTATTTAAAGGTAAAATAGCTTGAAGTCTGAGAGAATTCAGTGAAGCGGTTACGCCAGGCCCAAAAGGCTGGGATTAAATGGGAGGGAGAGCTATCCCCCTACTCCTTAGCTGGTGCAGTGAGAATTCCCACTCCTGATTTATGTCCTGTTCCTACTCACAACTCCCTGATCCTACTTTAAATCAGTGACCAAAGCTCCACTGACTTCAGTGGGACCGGATCAGGCCTTTCGTCTCCCTAATGGCCTCTATGAGAACTAACCCCAACCAGCCAGACAAATCAATCTATTAATACGGGCTAATCTAATCTACTCTACTCTGATCTATCACATTCCTGTTGTGTCTCACACTAGAATATTATCTAGGCATCAAATGCTCAAATTATAGATAGTACTAAAATTTATTCAAAGGAATTAATGCTGTGCCCCTCCATGCATGATTCATTCGCTCTCCAAGTCCCACTCCTTTTGTCTCGGCATTATCTGATCACAAAGAGCACTGCCAGCTTCTCCCGGGAAGAAGTTTCTAAGCAGAAAGTGGGGTTTGCATTGTGTCCTGAAGACACAGTCAGAAACACATAATCAGAAGGTCAGTCAGACCAGCTCTTTGCTGTGATTTGTTTAATTAGAGACAGGGGTATAATATGTTCCTTGCCCCTTCCTGGTAGCTTCCAAAGGTTGCTGTGGCAGAACAATACTGGGTCCCCCCAATCACAAGACCACCCCACCGCCCCCCAGTATAGGTCTTCCTTGCTCTAAAGAGCTGCAGTGTAATGTCATGCAGGAAACACGTCCACCACGGAAGTTATTACTCCTAGGAATTATGGGACAGTGCCAGCCAATCAGCATTTTTGGTGCTGATAGATCATTCTAGAAGGTGCTGTAAGAGGGTTTATGTTGCCAGACAATCCCTACCAAGTATCCCAAGATGCGTCTCTTCTTCTGACCGTTGTTTTTCTACCCGGAACGTTGAATCAGTATATTCCACATACTTGGCCTTCCAGTAGGTTCCCCCAATCCGCCTGGCGCTATGCTTGAAGAACTGCTCAGAAGAGCTAAACACAGAGAACAAATGTCATGTCCTTCTACAAAAAGGCAAACTCCCTTGCCCCCTTCAGAGCAGTGACAGCAGCAGCTCTCAGCTCTGCAGCCCTTCAAATTGAGTCAAAACCTCTGATTTTGAAAACCCAGCAGTGCCAAGTATAATAATGCCGTTTGGTAGCACTTTTCATCTGGGAGTGTGACAAAGCCCTTTACAAACTGATAGACAGACTTCATGTAGGGATCAGCTCACTCTTCCCAGGAACATGGCCAACTCTCTGGTGGAACATGGCTGCTGTTTAATAGTTACACAGCAATTCTGTACAACAGTTTGGGGTCAGGATGTACAGAATAGTATATCCAAATGAAACTGCAGTACTGACTCAGAGGGAACGATGCCCTCTATTGAATCAACACCACTTCAACAACACTTTCCATGGAGGTCTTAGGAAAGCACTATAAGAATTGGGATGTTTTGAGTAGTGTCAATCCTAACTCTAAAAGAAACACACATGAAATGAAAAGAAAATGAAATGAAATGGAAAATTCCAAAATGTGCCCTCCAGGAGAAGCCGCAGAGTCTAGTGGAGAGAACACAGAGCCTGGGACTCTTGAGGTCCAACCATGGCTCTGCTACTGGCTCACTGTGTGGTGTGTTGGGCAAGTCATTTAACCACTGTGCATTTCAAGTTTTCCCATGTGTAAAAAATGGGCATGACATTTACCACCTCCCAGGGATGGGTGTGAGAATTCATTAGTTTCTATTTGCAACATGTTCTGAAAATATTAAACACCCTTATATATGCTAAATATTATTTCAGCTGTTCGGAATGAAAGGATGTAAAACTCTCAAGAGAGCTATTCATTTCAATCGCTCTGCATTTGCTGCTAGATTTCACACAGAAGGCTAGATGGAAGCTGAATGTAAATCTGTAGTCCACCTATGCCACCCTGTGTCTGCCACTGGACTTGCTTTTTTAATCGTACCTACATTCTTTTATCAAACTTGCAGGCTTCTTGCTAAATCAAGTACAGTGAGTAAAGATGGAACTGTGATGTGTCCCTCAACCATACAGCATGCTGGGACACCTGGAAGCTTTGTGAATATATTTATGTGACTTGCATGTTAAACCATTCCGTTGAAAAAGGCGTTCCAAATTTCCTTGAGAGTGTTTCTGTCAAGCTCATATTCCAGACAATGGCTACAGATTTAGTACAGTGCCTTGCATGCAAAAACCCTCTTACCTGCCTGGCTCCTGCAGACTTTTCCCTGTGCTCTGGTCAAGCCCTGAGGGTCCATAATTCCACTGTACTTCCTTTGCAGCTATATAGTATTTCCGAACTGTCCCGTTCATGGAGGACTCCGGAGTTTTCTGAGAACACTGTCTGACTTCATAGATTGCTTCCATTCCAGCTGCACATGGGAGAAGCAAATGCACACTTAACTCCTGTCTGCCACTCTGAATGGAAGGTGGACAGGGGACCTATTTCTACAGTGCACCACCCATTTCCTTTGCCCAAGTCACTGAGCCCAGTTGTCCCAAATTGTGCATGGCTGGGAGTGAGAGTTTAGGCAATTGCTTCACAGGGGAGAGTTTTCTTTTCCCGCAGGCATGGGTTCCTACCATAAATACAGGGCATTGCATTAGGGTGGTCGGTGGACAAAAATAGCCCTCAGGCCCCCCCCCCCCATGTGTACCATATAGGTACAGCCTGGAGAGACTACAGGTCCCAGCATGCAGTGCTCCACTTTGATGTAAAGCATCTTCTGCAGCACCACCAGCTGCTCCAGTCCTGTGATATTCAGTGCTGAACAAGAGATGTCACATCTGGCATCTGTAATCCCTGTAGGCTGCACCTGCATATTAAAGACCAGGGTGGCTGTAACTCACAAGTTTTATGCAATATAGGGGGAGCCATCAGATCAAATCATTGATTACCCAGCAGGGGAAGTCCTTTTACCATGGGACATTGCCCACAAGACTGTTCTGCTTCGTCCCGTAGTGTCAAGGGGCCACAGTGGGGAAGTGAATGGGGGCCACAGGGTGCAGGACAGATTCCAGACTGTGCCTTACCTTGCAGGTGATTGTTGACCTGACAGCTCAGAAGCCATCTCCCAGTGCTACTGGGGATCATGTCAGCTGTAACAAAAGTGGCTGGAAAGAGGCTGGCCACGTCGGACCTGTGGCCTCTGATGGTGAGTGTCTGTCCATGGAAGAAGGCTGTGTGAACGTCAGTCTCACTGCCCATCCCAAAGAGGTGCCATGCCACGTGATCCCCAGCACACATTGTCATCTCAGGCAGGTTCCCATACACATAACCATTAATAGCTGTAAAACCAAGTGAATGAGAAGCAGAGATCAGAAAGGGTGTGGAGGTCCCATTACACAGCTCCATCCTGCAGGTCCCATTACAGAAACACGGGACATTCAGAAAAAAGGTCTCAACAGAACACCTTTCCCTTCTCCTGCCCAATCCCGGTGACCCTGCTTCCATAAATCATTTTCTAACATGGATCTTATTCTGGACATCAGATTAATGGCCACATGTTCACTGAAGGTAAAAGCCAAAACCCTGACAAAAATTATGATTGTTTTGATGGTGCTGATATGGCTACCCCTATGATGGGGCATCTTTCAGCACAAGGTCTCACTGGCTTCTCAAACCATCCCTGCACACATCAGATGAGACTGCACTTCACGGTATCAGGGAAGGAGCTCCTCAGGCATAGATTGACTGGGCAAAGCCAGTGTGAAAGGTGGCACCCACCATGCATTCTGTTGCTCACTTGGAACTCCTCATCTTCCTTATCAACAGATTCTGGGTCTGTGCAGAATAATGCAATATTCTCATCCAGATGCCAGCTCAGATTCTCATCAATCACGCTGAACATGAGAAAGAAATCAAGGTCCACGTCATGCCGTCTTTGAGATGTGCCAGTCAGAGCTCCTAGGGCAAGAGAGAGGATGAGTGATTTTCCAGCCCAGACTATCACTGAGGTCTGCCAATGCACCTCACCCTAGACCTGCAGTACTCCCTGCTATTCCATTCCTAAATTCCAATGTGTCTCACTTCTGATTTACAGCACCTCCTGCGCTCCCAGATCTTTCAATAGTGTTGTCACTCTTGCTGAAATCCTGTAGGGTTTGGAGGAGGTTTGGGGGCTTTGTCTTTCTTTCTTTCTTTTTTAATATGTACAAATGGGGTCTTGAATAAGATTCCTGCACTAATTTCCACTTGTGCATTTGAACTGATCCACAGAGCTGAGAAGTTAATGTACTAACTCTCTAAGCAACAAAGAAATAACAATCAGAATCAATCTAGAAATTGAGAACTATCTCAGATTACATATAAGTTCCATGTGAACTAGAGAGCTGTCTAACAAAGCATCACTGCTTGCCTTATCATAACTGAGATCATTGCAAAGTCTTCAGTATGTGTGAAGCTGTAACTCTGAGATGTCTTTCCCCTGAGGTTTTACCTTCTTTGCATGTCAGTAATGGCCCAATCAACCCAGAAGCAATGTCCTTCGGTGCATCAGTGTGAGAGTGGTAGACCCAGGTCAAGCAGGTTGGGTCGTCAGCCACCGGGCTGTGATCTTCAGGGACAGTCCAAGTATATGTGTGATTCCCTCCTGGTGGAACAGCATCATCCTTCTTATGATCCTGTGAGGACACATCGGGGTACAGGGACCCTGGAATAATTGAGCAATCACAGCATCCATTCAAGTTTGGCAGAGAGTATATAACATATAAACATGTACTGCATTTCTCACACTAGATACAGCACAGATAGCTGCAAGTTACTTTTACCATTTCTGTAGCACCTTTCAAATTAAGATTCACACCACATAAGTAATGTAATCATCATTTTTCCAATGGGCAAATTGAGGCACAGAGAAGTCGTTAAGTGACTTTGCCCAGTATGCTGGTGGCTGAGCCAGAAAGGTGACTTGTGGTCCCATGTTCTAAAAATTGCTTCTTTATATTCTCATTGGAAAACAGAGAACTGTGCTAAGTTTTCAGTTCAAATCTGCAGTATCCCAGAAATAGTTCCTTTCTAAATTCTCTGGGGCTATTTCAAACAGTGACTCTCTGTTCTGATATTCTATCTTTCCCATGGCACCTACAAGATTCATCACATTAAAGACATCTAAATATGCGTAGCACTATAATATAAACATTTATTAGCTACTACCTTGCTGATCCTCAGCTCCTGTATTCAGGCAATGAGAGTGTTACTAAGATTGTGTTCTTTAGGAAGGAATTTGGACATTCTGTTAAGGAGTTCATGTTTGGAAAAAGTGCGTCCATCTCAGATGGTACCGTACTGCTTAGGAACCCGATAACCCTGCATCTGGTGGCATTGCTAAAAGCCTACCTAACTATACCAGTTTTCCAGGTGATATTGCTTTGAGCCAACCCAAACAAGACCCCTTCTCAGCTGGCTTTGCTTTCCTATATACTCCTAAATTCACAGTGGGGAAACTGAATCTGAACTCAGCAGGGGCTCATTTACCTTCTGAGTCCTTCTTGTAGAAGACACCATGAGGATGGACCGTGTGTGGCCGGTTGGCAAAGTTTTTTAGGTGCACGGTAATGGTGTCACCCACTTCTGCTCGTATGATGGGCCCAAGAAATCCCAGCCAGGCAGGTTTGGGGATCTCTCTTGTATACGTGGAGTCTGAGTATTGCTTATACACAGATTTTTTGTAAGTGCTTCCCACCCTGTCCTTGCCAGACTGGAGGAATGTAGAGGCTTCTCTGTTAAATTCAAAACAGGATAACAGATTGTGAATAATATGCCATCTACTACAGCTGCATAACATGGACACCTATTGTAGTTCTCTCAGCTGACTCCTAGAGTCTCTGCCGTGCCAGCGCTCTATCCCTACTCCTAGTCCAGCATCGTGCTTCCTCTTCCAGGACCCTATGGCAGCGCTGGGAATGTAATCTGACTGGACAATAGCACTGGCCTCGCTCCTCTTGTTTGGTTTTTGAGTGTTGTAAAATATGAGAGGAACTGACACAAGGTAATAGATCAGCACATCAGACCATCTAGTTTGAGACTCGGTCTCTGGCTACGGTCAGTGCTGAATGCTTCAGGGGAAGACCTGACACAGTCCCCCTAAATGTATTTAACTGTGGATGCTATACAATGGTGGGAAATTTCTTTCTTATCTTGTGATCATTTTATGCACTAAAGAATGAAAGTTGAGAGCCCTAGTGATTGCCATCCTACCTATTGTTCTAGTTCTTTAAATCTATTTCAGTGCTTAATTCTAGTGCAGACTGGAGCTATGCTCCGTGAGTTGCAAGGGTGAAAAAAATCTCCTGAGCTCTCACAAAGACTGACACAAGAAAAGAGGGTGAGTTTCTAGTCAAAAGCCGATGTGAAATATTAGTGGAAAGAGTAGTTAGCTCAGGCTGATGTGTTCCCAGCACATATCTAACCTTCAGAGTTTAAACCTCTTACAAGTGTCCAACGGTCAATACACCAGTGGATTGCTTTTTTTTTTTTTTTTTTTTTTTTTTTTTTATTGTTTTGTGAATCTTGGCTCAAGTATTAGTGTGTCAGGTCAAGGACGGTGAAGATATTTTTTCCTAGGAGTCATCATTGCTGCAGCAATAAAAATAGTCCTGGCACATGGGCAAATAGACAAACTGTTCTGTATGGGCTCAGTGCTGTACCTCTGAAGTCAACCCCGAGCTTTGTCATTCACTTAATAGAGCAGGGTGGAGCTGTAGGTATGCAGCTCAAAGCTGCACCACATCCACAGAGTCACTCCTGCAGCCTGCTCTTCTATGTAGCAGGGCCAGAGCAGATGTTTTAAAAAGGGATAAGAGTGACTTAAATTCTTAAATTTTATGCAATCTTATAAAAATTATATAATGTAGTGTAATAAATGGTAGCTCTTATTTAGCACTTTTCATCTCAAAGTGCTTTATGAAGGAGATCAGTATCATCATCCCTGTTTTAGAGGCCCAGGGAGGGAAAGGGACATGCCCAAGGTCACCTCCCACACACCCACACACTCTCTCTCTCTCTCTCAAAAGGTTGAAGCTGTTTCCATTTCAAAAGGAAAAGCCCTGATGCTCTTTCAATAGTTTTTGTGATTTATTCTACCCCCCCCCCCGAAAAATTCAAAATGTGTCTGAAAAATACTGACATTTTGCCAGCCTGATGCACGTGTGATCTAAATAGTTATAGAAAAAAATCTGTTTACTGCAAATCTAGTTTCATTTTCAAACCTAGGCCATATTTTCAACTAAAAAACTTTTCCTTCTAAAATTTTTAACTAGTTTTATTATTTATTTCCCTGTGGAAATGAGTTCCACAGACTAATTCTATGTTTAATCTCAGTGACTGTCTCTTTGTTCTTGTATTATTATGAGAGAAGGTGAATAGAAACAAGATTTACCCTCTCTAAATTTGTCTTATTTATAAACTAAATAGTCCCAACCTATTAAATATCTCCATATATGAAAATCTTTCCAGGCCTCTGATCATTTTTGTTGCCTTTCTCTGAACCATTTCTATTTCTGCTATATGCTTTTTGAAATAAGTGATCCAATTGTACAAAGAATTCATGGTGACAGTGTAGCACTGAGAAAGCTTGGTCAGGAAATGGATTTTATTTACTATGAAAAATTTCAACAGGAAATACACAATTTTCATTTTCAGAGAATGTTTTTTCAGAATTTTTCTTAAGTTGTGATTTAAAAGACTTGGTTTAGTTTGGTTTAGTTTTTTGTTTTTGAAAACCAGAAACCAAATATGTTTTTTTTTTATTATTACTGAAAGCCAATTTTTTCTCAGTTTTCAGGCTTTTGGGTTTTCAACAAAACACTGCACATTTTTGATGAAAACATAAGCTTTCTTGCAAAAATGTCCACTTAGTCAAAAAGGTATTTTTTTGTCAAAATACATTTTTGACGAGCTCTAACCGCCTGTGTACATAATGGCATAAAATTCTCAGGCTTCAAGGCACATAAACAGATCACCAGCTAGGGTCAGGAAGAAATAAACCCTATGATACAGCATCGTGCAATGGGGTGCATTCTAAAGGGTTTGCACTTTCCTCAGAAGTATCTGGAATTGGTCAATGTATATTGGACTAGACTGATGATTGGCCTATCCCAACGTGATAATTTCTACGTTCCTATGATAAAAACAGGTTAACCATTAAGCCAATAAAGATCAGATATGTGACAACGTCAACTGCTTGCTTAATAAAACTTCTTGCATAAACCTCTGGAGCCATTTGCTTTTTTAGACTCAAATACTTATAGTTTTTAAACATACGGGTCATCTTTAATGCTTCGGCCTGTGATTATGTTCTTCCCTGTTGGAGCATAATTCCATTCCACCTCACAGATACCCAGGTAATAGACTCTGGTGGCACCTTCAGCAAAGATGGGCAACAGCAGCAAATGAAGGAAAAACAGAGACTGAGGCAGCAGTTGCCAACAAGATTCCATCCCAGCTCGAGGTGAAGGCTCTTCGGGAGCAGGCAACTGCTTTTTTGGAAAAGAAACAAAAAAAAAGAGTCTGGAGTAATGGGACAACAAGCAGGCTTTGACTCTCATAACTTAGTCCTAGGCAGTGTGGTTTGAAGGTACAGGATGTTCTGAGAACATGGGGAGGAATCAACATGTAAAAACTTCTGGGGTCACCATTTAATTATACCAGAATGAATGGAGAAATTACAAGGATTCTCAGCTCCCATGCTTCAAGCATAAGGTAGTCACCGGCTCCAGGATGAGAAAAAAAATCCTCCATCCACCCCTCCCCCACACACACATGCCCTGGTCTATTAACGTACAGCAAAGTGTACTGAAGGAGTTATACCTTCCTCAACAGCATCTGACACTGGCCACTGAAGGAGACAGGGCAATGGACTATGGACAATTGGCTTGTCCTACTAGGGTAATTCCTATAAGGTGGAGAGAGGCTTGGCATGCCTAAAAAACGCTGACTATCTCTCATGCTGACCTAGCCAACTTTCTCAAGTGTTTCATTGGATCGTATTCTTCTAAACTGCTTGTTCTGTAGTTTTGGGTCATGTTGCTGTACACTGTAAAACAACTACTGTGCTTCGCTGTGGGTGTTTGTACTGCTATGGTGGGTTAAGTGGTCCTTGTAAATCTGTTTCTAATATGCTTTGGGGTCCTTCTGAATAAAAAGCACTATAGGTTATCATTGCCTTTACTAGCCCTCCAACTATCTCTTGTGCTAACATCGAGAGCTAATGTATAGAATCCTGAACCAATTCATCTGTCCCCAGAAATTAATGGTAACTGGCAGAAGTGATTGTTAATCAATCCCAGATAGTCATTCAATTTACAAGGCTGAGCTTTTCACCGCTGGAAAACCCCTCTTTGTGGTATACCCAAATGTGTGACCTGTTCCCACACATTCCTCTGCTCCAACTGAGAGCAGTCTCTGAACTCGTGAGAAATTTCTACTCTACAATCCAATAATATGTAAGTCTTACAGTGTTTTTCATCAGTAGCTTTCAAAGCACTTTGCAAAGGAGATAAGTATCATACCCATTTTACAGATGGGGAAACAAAGGCAAAGAGAAGTGAAATATCTTGCCCAAGGCCTCCCAGCATGCTACTAGCAGAGCTAAGACTAGAACAAAGGTCTCATGCTACTGCTCCATCCACTAAGCCACACTTAAGGTAATTATTAGCTACTTAGAAATGAAAGGACTGTGTTTACATACACTCATGCTGTTCTTTAAAATAGATTTCAAACCAATTTGTTAACTAAACTGTACATGTGCTATTCAACACACACACAAATGTCATGTTGAATAGAGAGAGGCAGTGGTGACCAGTCAAGAGGAGGAATAGATGGTGTAAGAAGCTGGATTAGCCTGAAACCTCTTACCCTATTAACATTGATTGCAGAGAAAGGGTAATCTGTTGACTCATCTAAGAAGTGGCTCATTAGCCACCTAGATATAAATGAGGTGGCAGTGGCTATCTAAGGGAGAGGATTTCTGGGATGTGATTCAGCAGTCCTAAAGGGATACCTAAGAGCAGTCAAATGTGGAGAGAAGGTTTGGGCTAATCTTTATATTTTGTTCACAAAACCAGATTTCAGGAAGAGGGTGAGTTTGGACTTTATATACAGTATGGATAGTGGTTTTAAAGCAGATTGGGAAAGGAGCCACTTACAGGTGGGTCACTTGTTCTAGAAACCCAATATGACAGTATTAGTTGGTTTACTGAATACATTTTACTTGCATGGATGTCCACCTAATACTAAACTTCCAGTGAATTGTCCAGTCCTAATGCAAAAACCTGAAATGGAATCTTTGAGATTGCCTCTTTTTTTCGGATCTTTCTTTCAAAGACCAGGTCAGGAGCAAAGTAGGAGTTTGATTTAGGATACTACACGTTCCTGTGCTCCATTTCTATGAAATGGTGAAGCAGCTTATCTCAACTCAGCTTCATAGGGCCTGATTCTGCTGTTACTCACACCTATTTTACCATGGTGCAACTCCATTGGCTTCTAAGGAGTTATTCCTGATTTTACACTGGTATAAAAAATCAGAATTGGGTCCATGAACTAAAGGAGAGAAAACAGCCGTTTCAACTCCCTTATCCTAATCACCTCTAAAATAGATACATTAAACATCTTAAAGCCAAACATTGTTCTCTGATACTATAAGAAATGCATATAAAGGAAGAAAACTACTATTCTTTACTTCTCTCCTTGTGGCATGCGAAACTCCATATTATCAAGTTAAACCAGTCGCTATCTTGACTGTCACACTTCCACCACTAAGAAACCTCTACCCAAGAAAAAGAAGAAAGTATTAAATTAACTTATCTGCTGTTTTACTTACTCTGTTGAGCTGGGTTAGAAACAGGCAATGTTGAATGGGTTAGTCATTCCTGAGACTCTCTTCTTCAAATGCCTAGAGCATTGTAGAAATAATGAACCTGGAAATATCCATATATGCAGAGGGGGCAAAGTCCAGGTTATAAAGAAGGGAGATGCCTAGCCGTTAATTGATAGGTCTGGGCTGTGGGTTGTCTCAGGAATGTACTAGACACTGAATAGTCATGATGTGAGCCGCCTGACTGGCTATATTCAGGTCACAAATACTATAGAAATGCCCCATGTAGGCATCACCCATAATTAGGGCCCTCCCAAATTCGCAGTCCACTTCAGTAAATTTCATAGTCATAGGATTTTAAAAATTTGAAATTTCATGGTGGTGTAACCGTGGGGATCCTGATCCAAAAAGGGGCCATGGGGGTCCCAAGGCTATTGTAGGGGGGTTGTGCTATTGCCACTCTTATTTCTGCACCGCTGTTGGCGGCAGCACTGCCATCAGAGCTGGGTGGTCAGAAAGCGGTGTCTGCTGGCTGAGCACCCAGCTTGGCATGGTATGGTACTGCCACCCTTACTTCTGTGCTGCTACTGGAGTTGGGTCTGACCTGGCCCTGGGAGCGGCTCATGCAGGACTTCCTCTTCCCCTGCCCCTCTGCAGCCCAGCTGGGACTAGCAGCTGGAGCCTGGCACATGGTAGGAGCCCCTGGCTGGGGTGTCCTCCCCCTCACCCTCCAGAGCTTGGGAGGAGGGGGGGAAGAGGGTGTTAAAGAGGCCTTGAACTGGCTGTGTGTATGGGGTGGGGACAGTGTGACCACTAGGTGGTTGCCCACATTGCCCACCCATAAGGCTGGCTCTGCCTCCCCACCCCCCAAATGATGCCTTCAGAGCTGGGTTCCAGGACAGTAGCCACCGCTCTCTGGCTGCCCAGCTCTGAAGGCAGCTCAGAAGTAAGGGGGCAATACTACAACCCACTTACAATAGCCTGATTTCACAGGGGATACCATATTTCACGGTCTGTGACACATTTTTCACGGCTGGGAATTTGGTAGGGCCCTACCCATAATTTAAAAATAATCTCTGCACATCCATGTTTGTTTTGCTTTCAGCTTTTAAAAGCTACCACAACCTCTCCATGTGGTACCATATCTGAGGATTAATTATGAAACAGGAAACCAGGTATGTATTTTTTTATGGCATGGAGGAAACAAATTGTATTAATATAGTTAATTACATGATAGGAGAAAGGCAGTGCAGATAACAGATACCACACAGTAGACACTCCCTGTTCTTTCTTTCTTTTTCTTTCTCATGCTTTCATTCAGAGGCCAACTGGGTACTGGGGCCTCTTCCACTTTGCCCCTTGTTCATCTTTCCTGCTTCGCTGTACTTGTTAAAATGCCTCAGTGGGTCCCAGTGTGCTAAATTAATTTGCTGCAAGCAACAGAAACAATTATATTATTAATGCACATAAGCCTGGGCAGCTGGGACTAAGTAACCTGGTACTTCAGCTGCAAAAACACAGACTTCTACCACTTGAGCCGTCAGAACTCCCTTACCTAATGCTAGTAATAAGTCCCAGCGCCGTGTTTTTTTTTAATTAATTCCCTAGCACAGCCTTGGCTGCAGAACATGAGGAAAACCGTATAGCTTAATAGAGAAACTACAGATGTAGAGAATTCAAATGCTGATAAGGCTAGAAGTTTTTATAACACTTGTCTACCGTTGCAACTGCAGATTAGCTGACTCCTGTCCTAATTATGTCAATAAAAACAGACCAATTAGAAAAGAGCTGGTAGGGTTGTTTCACTGGTGAAGCTCAACAAGTTCTCTTGCTTCATCTCTGCATTGCAGCTAGACTCAGCCCACAAAGAGCGTACCCGTGAGATGTGCAGTATTGCTAACTGTAAGTGCTGAAAAGTCATAAGTCAGTCCTCCAAAAATAATAAGACTTGGAAAAAATAATGGAGAATTAAAAAAAAAATTCTGTGCCTTGTGGGTACACTCTGGTTCTCCACAGTGAGGACTAGAAACTTTGGCCTTGATCCACAAAGATATAAAGGTGCCTAAATCCCACCACGGCAACCCACAAAACTCCTGCTGAACCCTGTAAGGCATCGAGTGAGTTTAGGCATTAAGTTTTCAAAGTTCCCTAGGCAGCTATGTTTCTGTGTCTGGGCATGCACACTGCTGCCTCACTCAAGCCAACAAGCAAGTCACGAACCAGGGAAGATAGGCATTTGGCTACCTAAGCTGCAGGTGGGGCATGATGTGGTAGCTATGCTCAGAGGTAGAGTTGCCAACCCTCCAAGATTGACCTGGAGTCTCCAGGAATTAGAGATTAATCTTTAATTCCTGAAGATTGTCATGTGATGAAATCTCCAGGAATACATCCAACCAAAATTGGCAACCATAGAGGCTATCTAGTAGATCGAGTCCCATTCAAAATCTAGCTGGAGGAAAAAGTTGTGCCCACCTTATAACGTTTAGTCCACTGGTTAGA